CTTTGTGGGTTTCCCGCCAAAACAAACGGCTCCTTTAGGAGCCACCAAATGATACAAAAGTCAATGACCACTGAATAGAGTTTGTCATCAAAAGATCTCAACCTAGTAAAAACTTAACTAACCCCTCTATAATATTCTAGCTTCCCGTGTCATGTTTAAATGCAACACTCCGAAACTGATAGCAAATCGAAAATTCATCGACTATCGTAACAAAGGAATTAAAAAGTACGACAGAGGTCAATGGTTGCAACGGCACTGATACATTTTCTTGAAAAGTTAGAAATAAACAGACGAAATACAACAAATTCTGATTTTATTTTGAATTGATGCTAATATTCGTGAAATATATGGCCGCGCATTTTCCAACCTTCACTGATTTCGAGACAAAACCCAAGTAACCTCGAATTACCATTCCACATTAGTAGCATATGCCATTTATCTGTCTTCTGAAATAACTTCGCCGTATATCAGCGTATGATTGTGCTTATGTTAGCACAGTATGTTGATTTCACTCAATTTGGTTGATTTCACTCAACCTTGTTCATTTCTTGAACATTTCTTGAGGAAGCCATCAAAAACCAAACAAAGCGCGCTTTTCTGACCAATCAGCTTGCTGCTATTTTTAATTGATTGCATAACCAGTTGTAAACTAAAATCCGCCATCTTGAGTTTTGGCGCCGGTGTTTTGCAAACATTTCAACCGAATTTGCCACAGAACCGATCTCAAGCCGTATCATGGGTGTCTTAAACATTCAGGAGCATTTGCGACATCGTCGTAACAGAGATATGGTAGAAAATCATGACATTGACAAGTGAGTATCGTAAATTAAGACTTTTTTTTTTTCTTTTTTCGCGCCGAGGTTTGGGGCCACAAAGCCGGTAGGTTCCACATCTTTTGTTGTCATGTATAATTTTTTCATGCGTCTTAAGTTTCCTAAAGGATTGAAAGATAATTTAGAGCAAAGAGCTCATCGTGAAGTGTAGCTCGAATCTGAGACGAGCTTTGATCGTGTAGTAAACACTGAAAACAGGTGACCTGTCAAGGAAATTTTCAGTTTATTTGGCGCAATCTTAGGATCTTTGTATCCTGGTTATTTGGACTCTTTCCATGTTCACAACCCTCTCCAGACTACAGAAGAACTAAGTGATCAGAGCCGCAGTAGGCTGTTTCAGCTGTAAGCTGCCTCGTATTATTTTAGAATCGAAGCAAATTTTCTCTCTTAGTGTTTGGGAGGAGGAAGTTTTTGAGCCTGCCAACGTTCAACCTCCACAACAAGAACGTAATCAGAGAAGGCATACTCGTAATCGATCACAAAAGAGCAAAATACAATATTACAACAGCAGGAATTCTGGAAGAAAGGCCAAAACTGGAAGCAGACCGATGAGGAGGCATGAGAATAGTAAGTCTTCATTTGGCCAGGGAGGGGACGTAGGGGCTCTGGTTGTCATCGTCACCTTACCAGAAAGTAACTTGAAGCACCCTCAGATGAAAACAACTTCATTTCTGCATGGCGAAAATTCCAACAATTATGAAAGTGCCTGATGTTAGAGCCTCCGCACCCCTCAACTTTTCTAGCCAACAAAATAATTGGTTCATACACCTGATAAGTTTCTCCCCATCACATCCAAGTATCTTATTTGTTACTTTGTGGGAGATCTGGCAGTTACGAAACACCCATTCCAGAGATCCCATTAGGGGGCACGGGTACTGATTATCCCATATTCCGTTAATTTTTGGCCCAAATATCCTGCATCCATCACTTCCAAATGCAAAAATGAACGATTTTCCTCCTCGATATACCATTTTACTTGATCTAAATATCACATTTCCCATTAATTTTTTTCCAAAATATCCTGTTTCCCAGAAACTCCATATAAGGATATTTTTCAAGTCCTTCTTAAAAGAAGCCCCCATTTTTCCCAGGGAGGAGTGTTCTGCACTGGCAATGCACTTGCATTTTTAATTAATAATCACTTTTTCAACACTTTGTTTAGCAGAGAGTTGGTGAGAACAAACAAAAATGATCAACAAAGGGACATTGTCTTGATTTGATACCAAATTCTCACTACCAACATTAAATGCCAATCAATAAGGAGAAGTCATATTTGCATCTCCTCCAGATTTCCTGGCTGATGTAATCTGTAAGATGTTTCTATATACTGATTATTACTATTTTACTCTTTTCAGTGTGCTTTCTGTTGAGTTTGGTTGACCATGAGGAGATTGGAGAACTCGATTTCTCTGATATAGTCAGCAACAAGAAGTCCATGTTTGCAACACTTTTAACAAATGAGGAAAACATGAAGGTATGGGCCTTGATAACTCTGACTTGTATTATTTCACAAAACCCAGTTAACAGTTACTGCTTTCAAGTAAATCAGGGATTTTACTCAGTGACACAAAAATATTTGGTTCAAAGATGTGCGTAATGATTTTGATTTTGGGGCTCAAAGGTTAAGTTTCCATGTTTACAGATCTGGAATGAGTTTGTGAGCCTTTCTGAAGAAGAGCAAGAAGTCATCATTACATGCAAGACAAAAACAACAGCACCTGATAAGGACACTAACTGGGGAAATACAAATGAAGACAGGAACATTCCCACAGAGCAAGGTAGAGCTGAATATGTAAAGTAACAATCCAAAATTTGTGTTAACAAGGCTGGCTAGGAGTTAGCAGGTGTGAATCCTACCACCCCCCGCCCCCCACCCCCACCGCCCAAACCCTCTGTTACCAAGTTGCTATTGATTTTCATTTCGAGGTTTACCTGTACCAAAGGTTCCCAGGCATTGTCACTGGGCCATCTAGGGTCCTATTATTAGGTTTGAAGTCCATAAATATGGGTTATTAACCAAGCGCGAGGTCAACATGGCTGGATATTGGGCACATTCTTTTTGTGTGTGTTTATGGACCGAGATGGAGTTGAGGTCCCTAAAATGAGGCTAGTAACTTGCTACCTTGACTGAACAAGGTTGGTCAATAAGGAATTTATTATATGTCTTTCGGGGAAATTTTTTCTTGCGGGAGTAGTGCCAAGTGGGCAAGATAGCACCATCTTGCCTGCTTGGGTAGCCAATCACAGTGCAGGATTTGGTTCATCTTGCCTGCTCACACAGCTAGCCATGTAATTATTATTACAATTTCATGTTCCTACAAGATATACATAAAGCTACCTTGCAAACTCTTAGTAAAGTTTAGGAGCACTTTAAATCTGACATCAGTTGTTATAATTTGAGTGATATAAGTTTTCAATGTTTTAGATGCTGTAGCAATTGCAGAGAAGTCTTTTAACAGAATTGAAGACCGAATAAGAGGAACCCTCAAGAAAAAACGTTTTCCAATGGTAAGTACTACAGTTATGATTTCTGTCCCTCTATAATTCTCAATCTCTCAAAGCTAGTCCTAGAAGTACAGTGGCAAGAATTACAGATTGGAAAGTTACAAGTAATTTTTTTCTTCTAAATGTGATGATAACACAGTGGCCATGATCACAAATTACTTACGTGGCATTTTGTTGTTGTTGAAACATTGATCATAAGGCAGTAATAATTTCATTTGTTCAGTTTTGTGTAGTTTTGAAGAATCTAACAATAATTTTATTGCTCAATGTGTTCATGGACTTATTTTCTTTATTCAGGGTGGGCTTAAACACCATGAAGAGGAGGTGATCTCATATTTTTCTGATGACCCCAGTGCAATCATGATCTCAACTGTACCCTCCAGGTATACATTAACATACAAATTTTGTTGCTAGTTTTTGTCCCTTTAAGTTCCATTGAGAAGAATTTACAATCCATGCAATGTCATTTTAACGTGCATACCATTAAATGGTGTAATTTCAAGGCACTTTTTCCAAATCAAAATATTAAATTGGTATCACAGAAGTTTCACCATGCAAAGGTTCTTCCCCACTACTCGCATAGCTTTTTGTTAGTTATTTGTGGTCGATCATTTATCATGAAGACCTGGAACAAATTACTATTACAATAAACACCTTTGAAATAGGAGTTAATTGTAAATGCTTTGGTTTTTAATATAACAGATGTTTGTTTCAACATTAATGTTGTTACAGTTTTGACCGGTTGTTGGTGCATGGAGTGTGTCAGTTCCTGGACCTGAAATCGACAAGTAAGTAATATTGCAAAACAGTAGCTATGACTCCCCTTCCACCTTTAGCAAGGGATTGATTTTGAGTATACATTTAACTTAAGATCCAACACAATCTAGTGAAACGTTTCATAGTATTATACTTGTTAGTTCATATTTCCCAGTTCCAGGATACTGTTGTCTATTCATTGCCTAAAGGGTATTCACTATAAATACGTGAAAATCTCCTTACCCTTTAATTTTGCACAACGGCATTGGCAAATATCACAAGTTATTACAATTGACTTAATAATATTTGAATAAATTATTGAAATGTACTGTAAACACAAGTACATTCTTGACTAGCTAATTAGTAAAGGGTTAAATTTGATACACAAAAACACGTCTCTGAAAAAACTGCTGTCCCTAAGGCTGTCCTTAAAGAGCATTTGTAGCCACCACTAAACCACTTTATCTGTTTTTTCTCTAAGGTGTGAACCGCAATGGAGATGGTATCATGGAGATTGAAAATAATCAGGAGACATTTTGTGTTCCCTCGCTCCTACTCTCCCAATATTTAGAACAGCACAGATAGCATCACTTAAAAAATATACATTGTATCTGATGAGATCTTAATAATCTTAGTAATCTTATAGAAATTTCATTTTTGTAGAATGCAGACTGGAGTTGCTCCTGGACATCACAAGATGTTCCAATAGTATTTGTATTACATTAATACTCTTACATTGACGATGTGACCAAAGTGAAAAAGGAAGATAGACAAATCAGTCACTTATCAATTCCTTGCTGTTGTAAACAGTATTTACAACTGTAGTAGTCATGAAACATTTTCTTCACAAGTGAAATATGGGATATGATAAACTCAACATGAGAAAAATACAGTTTAACAGGATCATAAAATGTTGTAGTGTGATACAATGCTATGCTATTAAAAGAACAAGGTAGAAGTTGTTGGTATAGCGTGTTTTAACTATAAACACTTACAAAGTTAATAGTTAACGGGGCTCAGTCACGACATTTCTAGTTATTTTTGCTGTGTTCAATATTACATGTACCTTTAAATTGAAGGATACCTGAAAATAGTAGTTCAGCAAGGTAGAAAAACACCAAAGAGAAATAAAGAAACCACAAAGAAACAAGGATGGCTAAGGATGGAGAAGATTAACATGAATTACAAACAAGGAACTTGAAAAATTTTGACTAAACTTTTCTAGTTGCACAGATGGTGAAGTAGCTCCTGCAAGCATTGGTGTTTGGAAAACAAGATATTCAAATGGTACTGGTCAGGATGAACTTTCCCCTTTCAGTTTGAATCTTAGCCTTGATTCTCTACTAAGTAGCACGCATACTTTCCCACAAGCATTTAGTCAGACCGCTTAGTTAGGCCTCAGGGATCAGCATAATTAAGCCAACACTTGCCCCCCCCCCCCCCCC